GACGAAAGGTAGAGTCTCAACCACTGAGCCATCTATATTATTAAAATAGTTAATTTCACCTGTTTGTTTTTACTTTTTTTTTTTACATGTAACTGTGTGTGAAAGTGTTAGTTGGTCAGTTGTGTCTGACTCTCTGTGACCCCATGGACTGTATCCTGTCAGGCTCCTCTGTCCATGGGAGTCTCCAGGCAAGAATACTGCAGCGGGTTGCCATGCCCTCCTCCAGGGAATCTTCCCGACCCAGGGATTAAACCTGGGTCTCCTGCACTGGACACAGATTCTTCACTGTTTAAAATTACACGTAAGGCTTGCATGATATTTTTACCGGAAAGCATTGCTCCAGAATGTGAGCTCTGTGGGAACAGAGGGTCTCACTGATTTGATCATCACGGGGTCCCCAGGACGCAGCAAGGTTCCAGGGACATAGCTGGTTTCCATGTGTATCAGCTAAATGAATGGAGAAGTCTCCAGCCTTACCTGGCAAGAGTCTCTGCCCGCCTGGTCCCCAGCGCAGAACATGGTGTTATCTACTTGATTTGGATAGGCCTTCTTGCACTGGTCGTCACTCAGCACCGTGATGTTCAGGCACTGGAGGGCTTTGGGGAAGGTAACTGGAACAGAGAGACCGCAGGGCCAGGCAGGCGGTGAGCGATGGAGGAAGATGGGGGAGGGGCAGAGTGCTCAGAGACAGAGAAGGGGAGAAGGCAGACATAGGTGGGCATCGAGAGAGAGACACAGCCACTCACCCTGGGGACTTCTGGTTGTTCCCCAGCCAGACACCAGGCAGCTGGTCCCAGCAGAAGGACAACGGGAGGCGATGTTGATGGGCCTGACGTACGGAGTCTCGTGGATCCTTTTGTTCAGTTTGATGAGCATGAGGTCGTTGGAGTGGCCGGGGTGGGAGTAGCCAGGGTGGGCAATGGATTTGATGCCCTGGAACAGCTGCTGCCCAGACTCATACATGGGTGACAGCGAGTGGTGGCCAAGACGGACTCTGAAAAATCTGAGGAAGACGGTGCTGATCACCCCACTGATTTTGAGCCTGACCCCCATATGCAATGCCAACTCCCATGCCAAACCTACCCCCAACCCCATTTTCACCCCCATCCTCAAACCCATCCCCAACACCATCTTGCCTCCAACCCTTTGCCTAACCTTGCCCCAGTCACAACAGCAAATGCATCTCCAGCCCGTCTCCAGCGCCAACTCTAATCCTTTCCCCACACAAAGCAAAGTGAAAGTCGCTCAGTCGTGTCTGACTCTTTGCGACCCCATGGACTGTAGCCCACCAGGCTCCCCTGTCCATGGGATTCTCCAGGACAGAATACCGGAATGGGTGGCCTTTCCCTTCTCCAGGGGGTCTTCTCAACCCAGGAATCAAACCCAGGTCTCCCGCATTGCAGGCAGATTCTTTACCAGTTGAGCCACAATGGAAGCCTCCCACAAAAACCATGAACAAATGCATTCTCAACCCCAAATACAACCATCCTCAATCTCACATCTAACCATGCATGCGAAGTCGCTTCAGTTGTGTTCAACTATTTGCAACCCCATGGACTGTAGCCCACCAGGCTCCTCTGTCCATGGGATTCTCCAGGCAAGAATACAGGAGTGGGTTGCCATTTTCTCCACCAGGGGATTTTCCCTACCCAGGGATAGAACCCGCATCTCCTGTGTCTTCTGCCTTGCATTCCTAATCATCCAGGGCTTGCATTTCTAGCCTCAAATCCAGCTCATCCCTAACTCCCATCCCCTACCACAACCCCCTCCCAGTCTGACGTCATCCCCGCCCCACTCTCCTCCCCAGCTCCATTCTAAATCACATCCCCAACTCTACCACCTCCTGCTCTCCCGTCCCCATCCCACCCTCACCAGACCCCCCGTGCCCCTCCCCCAGCCCCCCAGCCCTCCTCTTGGAGCCCCCACTCACTGCTTGCGGCAGTGGGCAGCCGTGAGCAGCCACTGCGGGTCCACCAGCACGGCCCCGCAGTAGAGCTTGTTGAATCTCAGCAGCAGCGCAGCCTGCCACGGCTGGCTGTTCGTCTCGCAGTTGGTCCCATTCACGATTCGGCTGCTGCTCTCACCCGCCCGGGTGTCCTCCGTCGCCCCAGGCCTGAGGTCCCGGGTGCTCTCAGAGGGCCCGATGGCAGACGGGTCGTCGCAGGAAGCCACATCGTTCGCAAGAACCGGGTCTGGGGGCAGAAAGTGGGCGGGACGGAGCTCGGGGGCGGGGCCAGTCAGCGGATGAGGGGCGGGGCCAGGGCCCTAAGGGGTGGGGCCTAGTTTCCAAAAGTGGGGAAGTCAAGCCTTCGAGAGAGCCGGGTCTGGGCTTGTGTGGGCAGAGCCTGAGATGTGGGTGGGGCTTGAAATCGATCTGGGCAAGGCCAAGGCCAGAGTCACGCGGAGGAGTCGATTCTATAAAGAGCCTTGACTTTGGAAGAAGAGGCCAGGCCTGGGTTCTAGGAACTGTGGCCAGGACTGGAGGTGGAACCTGGCCCAAAGAGGTAAACCCGAAGAAGCTGGGGCCTTTCTTGGTGGAGAGGCACAGCCCAAGGATCCCTGACTGTAGATAAAGTCTGGACTTGGGGTATGGTTGAGGAAAAGAGGCAGAACTAGGAAAAGTGCTCAGACTGGGGGTGGGGGGAGGGGTTCATTGGGATGGGGCGGTGGAAATCAGAGTTGTTTTGTAAATTCAAAAACACAAATGTGAGCCCCCCTTCATCACACAAACCTGCACAAAGGGACCCAGATACCTTCCTCCATCACCGGTTCTCCCATTGCCTGTTAACCCATCTTTGTCTGTGTTCTTGCTAAAGACCCAGACAAGCACCATCTTCATTTACACGCACTCTCCAAGAGCACAACGGCTGTCACAGACATGCACACACCCAGTGACATGTATCATCCCCACACACAGCTCTGCCTCGTGGCACACATGCTCCCCAGGTACACTTATTTGGGGAAGGCTGACACTTTTCCAGTGGTCATGTATGGATGTGAGAGCTGGACTATAAAGAAAGCTGAGTGCTGAAGAATCGATGCTTTTGAATTGTGGTGTTGGAGAAGACTCTTGAGAGTCCCTTGGACTGCAAGGAGATCCAACAAGTCCATCCTAAAGGAAATCAGTCCTGAATATTCATTGGAAGGACTGATGCTAAAGCTGAAGCTCCTATATGTTGGCCAGCTGCTGTGAAGAACTGACTTACTGGAAAAGACCCTGATGCTGGGAAACATTGAAGGTGGGAGGAGAAGGGGACGGCAGAGGATGAAATGGTTGGATGGTATCACCGACTTGATGGACATGAGTTTGAGTAAGTTCCAGGAATTGGTGATGGACAGGGAAGCCAGGTATGCTGCAGACCATGGGGTTGCAAAGAGTTGAACACAACTGAGTGACTGAACTGAACTGAAATGATCTCGCTCCCCCCAACACAGTATCTTAGTGACGTGGGCACGGACATGTAGAGACTGCCCCTCACTTCTGCACACAGCACGATAGCATAGTGACAAGGTTAGATAGACTCTGTGGATCAAGTATGACACAGGGCAAGTCACCCAGCCTCATTCACTCTCTCGTGGTGACAGCCTCTTCCACACACTCCGCTGTCACAGGAGGGATGGGAACTTCACACACACCACTGCGTGGTCACATGTCCAACCCCTACAAACACGCAGTCATGGGACTTCCCTGGCGGTGCAGCTGCTAAGACTCCGAGCTCTCGATGCAGGGGGCCCAGGTTTGATCCACAGTCAGGGAGCTAGATCCTCCAAACACATGGCCACACACAGTCACCCATACACAGAGCCTCAACCAACCACACAGAGTTGTTGTTTAGTCGCTCAATTGTGTCTGACTCTTTGTGACCCTACCGGCTGCAGCACGCCAGGCCTCCCTGTCTCTCACCCTCTCCTGAAGTTTGCCCAAGTTCATGTCCATTGCATCAGTGATGCCATCCAGCCATCTCATCCCCTGTCATCCCCTTCTCCTGCCCTCAGTCTTTCCCAACATCAGTGTCTTTTCCAATGAATTGGTTCTTCGCATCAGGTGACCAAAATACTGGAGCTTTACCTTCAGCATCAGTCCTTCCAATGAGTGTTTCTGGGTTGATTTCCCTTAAGATCGACCGGTTTGATCTCCTTGCTGTCAAACTAGTGAGCAATATCTGTAGCTGTCACAAAGAGAGCCACCCATAACCACCCATAACGTCGCACCCAGCCACAATCACACAGTCACAAATGGCTACCTGAAGGCACCTAGCCACACATTTTCACGGCTACAAGCACTTTTGTCAGACTCAATCCTGTGACGCAGGGACAGAAACCAGCTGGCATCCATACACCCAGCCAAACAGCCACACACAGCCACACACACAATAGCACTCACAGCGCACACACCGCCACCCACACAGTCACTGAGACACACACACCATCTTAGATGCACACACACTCAGTCACACGATCACATGTACAGTCTCAAAGGGTAGTCCCACCTGTCACAGATAGTCACTTGATATGGGAAAAGGCGGCACCACACATTCACACTCACAGTCACACACACATGCTCACATACATAGCGGTCCCACTGCCACACACAATCATAAATGCAGACTCGCATTCACCCAACCTTGGGGCCATAACTAGTCACACGGGGTCCCCCTGGATCACAGAGTCCCTGACAGCTCCTCCCCACCCCACACGGCTGGCCTATGTTGTCCTGGTTACCTGTTGCCCTCAGAATCAGGGCTGCGATTAGGGTGTGGACCATCCAGGACCAGGTGGCTCCTCCCGCGGCCATGGTCTTTGCACCTGATGGAGGTGGGGGAGAAGAGGGTGGGCAGGTGATTCTGGGACCACTTATCCCACCCCTATCTCCTTCCGTCCCCTGTTGCTCAGAGCAGAGAGGGGCCGTGAGCACGTGGTCCACCCAGAGCGCTGAGTTGAGGCTCGGGGGAAATTCTAGTACTTCGGAGCATCCTCCCGTCTCTGGTCTCCGAGCGAGGATGGAGATGAGATGGAGAGAGGACGCGCAAGCATCCTTCCCAGACCAGAGCCCACACGGAGCCGTCTCTGCGTCCCTTCGCCCCTCCCCAGGGCTCACCTGCCGCGTCCCCCAGGTCGGGGGTGGGGACCCGGCTCCCCGCTCAGCCGCAGACTCTCAGGCCGCTGTCGCCGCCGACGCCGTGGTCCTGCAGCCGCCACCTCCTCCTCTTCGGCTCCTGGCACCGGCCTGGGTTATAACCACCCACTGATCCCCGGGGCGCATTCCCGGGTAGTGAGGCGCCCTACCGGGCTTTAGCAACCACTCCTCCGGCCTTCCCCCCACCTCCGCCCCCAGAGCACCCCCCACCCAGTCCCGAAAGCCACTCCCTACCTCCCTGGCCCCGGGATGGGGAAGGGTCTCCAGAGTTCTGGCCCCGGGGCCTCCCCGAGCCTCAAACCCAGAGCCTCCCCTGCTCGGAGGCGCGCTGGGCTCGGGTTTTCCGTCTTCCCTGTGCCTTCACTCCTTCGGCCTGCCCTGCCCTCCTCCCTCTGCCCTCCTGCCTCTGCTCAAGGCTTCTCTCTGTGTTCCGCTTGCCTTGGAATCTTTGAGTCTCTTTCCGAATTAAGGCGCCCAGCCAATGTCTCTTTCTTCTTTATTTTGTACAGCTTTATTGAGGTATGACTGGGCTACAATAAAATGCTCATGTCCAATATGTACAACGTGATGCGTTCTGACCCACATTCATCCAATCATCATCCCAACCAGGATAACAAATGTATCCATCACCTCCACAGTTTGTTCATGCCCTCTCATGTGTTTCTGTGCTTCTTAATTGACCTCTCTTTCTCCACACCCTGGGTCTCTCTCTGTATCTTTTCTGTTACCTGTCCCTTTTCTGAGTCTACCCTTCCCTGTCTCCTATCTCTATTTCTGTCTTCCTCGCCTTCTTCTTCCTTCCCCCCCTCTCTCTGTCACCGAGTGCCTGTATCTCTGTGTCTCTCAGTCCCTCTGTCTCCCTCACTGTCCATTTGGGGCCAGGAAGACTCTGGCCACGTTGCCGAGGGACCCCCTCAACACCTCCTCCTGACCTGCATCCAGAACCTGGTGCCTTGGGGGCAGAAAGGGGCAGGGATCCAGTCTAGGGGCCCCAGCAGGTGCCTTCCACACACTGCCGGGCACAGCCAGGTGTGGGCGAGAGTTGGGCAGGGCCACCTGCCGATGGGGCAGGAAGCCAAGAGGCTGGGAGAAGGGGTGGGTGGCTCCTGGCCCCTTGGGAAATGGGGCGCTGGGTGGGGAACCCAAAGGGTGCCTCCTCCCTCCCTGGTTCCAGGCCATCCGGGCCTGCCTCTCCTGACCGCTTACCATCCAGGCTCTTCTTTTGGTCTGCCCCCAGCTCTCTGCATCCATCTTTAGCTGTCTCTCCAAGTCTCTGTCTCTGCTAGGATGTGAGAGCCAAGGATTCATCCGACACCTATTTACTGAGCACCTACTGTGTGCCAACTCAGGTCTGTCTGTGAACAAAAACAGACAATGATGTCTGGAGATGCTGCTTTTGCAGAGCTCATGTTCCTTGAGGGCAAAACGTGATCTGTCTTGTTCACCTCTATAATTCAGAACCGGTTGACTGGGAGGATTTAGAGCCCCGAGGCTGGATTCAGTGTGTAGGGGGAAAAAAAGGTCAAAACATAAGAGTCTGAGGCTTATTTTGCCTATTGCAATGAATATTTCATGCATTAAAGTGACAAATCCTGCATCTTACTTCTTTCTTTTAAGTTTAGCTAACTCACCTTTTTAATTCCAAATTCTAGGAAGGGTTTTGTTTGTTTGGTTTGGCTTGGGGGAGTTCTTTTTTGCATTTTAATTTATTTTATTATTGAAGTAGAGTTGATTTACCATGTTGTGCTCATTTCAAATTTCGCCTTGATAAAATTTCACCTGCCTTTGGTTCTTGAGACATCTAAGTATACTTTTTCTCAGCTCTAAAGATCTTTAGGATTGAGAGACAGTCTGGAATGGCCACTCTGTGATAATTTCTGACATCCTTCTACTCTGCAGGGTAAAACTAAGGTTGCCATTCATGTTGGCGAAGCAAATGGACCGTGGTCTCTGACCCTCCCTCTAATCCTGACTTCTGCTCCAAACTTCAGCTCCCATGTTGGACCCTCGTTTCCCTTTCTCTAGAGAGTCACTTACTGTTCCATTCAGCTTCCAGGGAGGATGGCTGGCTTAGACGGCCTTTTGTCTTTCTCAGAGCTGGTGCAGTGGGACTAAGCCAGGAAGGTTTTTCTGAGGACAGGGCATGTATGTCAGCGTGGGATCGTGCACAGTGCGTGTGGGTGGAAGAACCCCAGAAGGTACATGCAAGCCTGGGTTTTCACCGAGTTCTGCCTGTCTGCTCCCCTCATTTGGGGGGAGCATCTCCGGTCTCTCCACCTCCCTGCCCAACCCCTTTCTCTCCCCTCAACTGGACTACAGTGCGATCTTTCACCTATCCGCCTCCAATCCTGCCTTTTCTCAAGGCCCTCAGGATCAAGGTCAAGTTTCAGCCTGGCACTCAGGACCCAGTGCCGTCCTCCACAGACCTACATTCCCAGCCCCATCACCCACTTCTCCAGCCTCAAACCCTGGCCCCCACCATCCTGGATAATTTACCATGTCAAGGACCCATCGGATGTTCTCACTCCCTCCCCCAATTTTTCTACAGGTCATTAGCATCCTGAGAATGCCCCCGACCCAAGCATCTCCATACGGCATACTCAAATCCAGCCTCCCTTCTCCAGCCCTCCCACCCCGGCCCCTGCTCAGCCCCACATCATCTCTCCCTGCACCCTCACTGGTCTTTCTCTTCCAGTCCATCCTGTACCTGGTCCCAGAGCTGCTTGTGCTCACACCCCTTCCGTGGCTCCCCACTGCCCTCAGGAGAAGCCCCAGACTCCCAACCCGGGGTCTGAGGTCCTTTGGGACCTGGTCCCTGAGGTCTCCTCTCCTCTCATCTCCCAGCACTCTTACCCACTCACAGTGGCCTCCCAGCCATCTCGTCTCCCTGCTTTTGCTGCTACAAGGTGAGTTTAGTGGAGAAAGCCACCCTCGGGCAGGGCTGGCATAAGGTGGAGGAATCAAGGAGGTCTCCCTGGGCTGGGGAGGAAGGTCAAGTTGGGTTGTGAAAGGGGACTAAGGCTATCTGGGCTTCAGAGAGGCAGATGAGGGATAAAAGCAAAAAGCACCACGAATAATAAAATCCACTCTTTTATTGTTCACGTGGGTGTGCCAGGCACTGTTGCTTGTGTTTCACATGTTTACAACCTTCAATCTCCCCCACCACAGCCACTGCCTGATGAGACATGTATGATTCTTATCCTCATTTTTACAGAGGAGAAAACCTACACAGCAAAGGAAGACAGTTCCTGTAGGTACATGGCGAGCAAGTGGGGGAGCTGGGATGCCCAACTCGACTTTGAACAGACACGAGACCACTTCTCTGTAGGAAGAAATTAAGCCCATGGGGTCATCAGGGGAGGGAGAGATCACTGGAATGGAATTGTCTGTATTCTGTTAGCAGCAGGGGTAAGACCTTAGCCCGTGTCCACCGTCACACCTAGTGATGAGAGGGCGGGGCTGGGGTAGAATCAGGAAGGGTTTGCACTATGGTGTCACGGCTTTTTATTAAGTATTAGGATCGGGTCTGGGCAGCAGGGAGGGAAGAGGTCAAGAGGTGGAGGTCACAGGTCAAGATCAGTTGGCCTGAATGACTCTTTGGATCCAGTGACCGTATCTGCAGACATCAGTGTAGACGCCCGGCTTCTCCTTGGAGCCGCAGGGGACGTTACCCCACGACACGAGGCCTCGGAGGCGGTCGCCACACACGAGCGGACCCCCGGAGTCGCCCTGTGGGTGAAGAGGGGGAGAGAGTCAGCCAGACCTGCAGGAGAAAGAAAAAGAGATGGCGACTTCCCTGGGGGTACAGTGGACCGGGAGTCTCCCTGCCAGTGCAGGGGACGTGGGCGCGAGCCCTGTTCTGGGAAGGGTCCACGTGCCACGGAGCCGCTAAGGCTCTGCCACAGAGAGTGAGCCCGCGCGTCCGGAGTCCCTGCTCCACACCCAGAGAGCAGCCCCCGCTCACTGCAACTAGAGAAAGCCCCAACGAAGACCCAGCGCAACCATAAACAAATAAATAATTTCAAAACCTACTCTGAAAAAAAGAAAGAAGAACAGACAGAAGGAGACACAGAGAGACATGCAGAGATGGGGGGATGATACTCAGAGATGGAGAGAACGACTCACATACAGAGAAAGGGAGACAGACAGACACAAAGTCCCAGTGGGGGGACTAGAGACAGGGAGACTCAGAAACACAGAAATCTCTAAAGGGAGGATAGATGGCCTCAGAAGTGCGGCTTCTCTTCCTGCCCTTTCTCTGCATCCAACTCACTGGGCATCACCTTTCTCTAGCTTTGCCTCTTTCTCCCTCTTGGCTGGTCTCTGCAGATCCTCCGACGCAGAGGGGTCAGTTTGGGCATCGGAAGGAGAGATCCAATGGATGACGTGGCAGGAACCCAAGTTAAAGGTATTTGGGAGAGAGGACGGGGCCCCTTTGCTCCCTGGCTAGGGTCCCCCTTCTGCACAGCATGGCTACTTCCAAGCAGGACTGGTGGGGGCTCTGTTGGAGGAGGGACAGTCTCCTGGCACCATCTGCCTCCTGACTGTGTCTCTGCTTCTTGATCTCTTCATCTCCATCCTTGTCTCTGCACTTCCTGTCTCTGCTAATTGGCTTTTTGTCTCTGCCTGTCCCTGTCTGTTTCTGTGTATGAAATTGAATCTCTCTCTCTCTTCTTGCCTCTGATTCTCACGCAACCTGGCTCTATGTGCGTCTGTCCTTTCCGTTCAGTCTATGAGTCTGTCTCTTCCTGTCCGTCTATGTCCTTGGCCATGTAGCTGATGGGTCCCGGCGTCCTCACCTGGCAGGAATCCTTCCCGTGCTTCTCGTCTCCGGCACACACCATGTTCTGGGTGATCTGGCCAGGGTAGGCATGATCACACTCCTCGCGGGACACCAGGTGGATGTATGCACACTGGATGGTGTTAGGGTATTCACCTGCAAAGAGAGATGGGCCATGATCGCGTCACAGTCCGCCATTCTCATTGATCCTCCATCTATAAATCCTCCCTCCCCTATTGATCCCTTTTCCCCACTGGTTCCCTTATTCCTGTTTGTCACTCATTCTCAAAACCCACTGCCACTGCCTGACTCCTGATTGGTCCTTCTTTCCATGACTCTTCCCTCCCATTGGCCTGTCTTCCTCAATTACCCCTTCTCTCAGTCAGGTTAGTCGCTCAGTCATGTCTGACTCTTAGCAACCCCATGGACTGCAGCATAGTAGGCCTCCCTGTCCATCACCAACTCCCGGAGCTTGCTCAAACCCATGTCCATCGAGTCAGCGATGCCATCCAACCATCTCGTCCTCTGTCATCCCTTTCTTCTCCTGCCTTCAATCTTTCGCAGCATCAGGGTCTTTTTCAGTGACTCAGTTCTTCACATCAGATGGTGAAAGTATTGGAGCTTCAGCTTCAGCATCAGTCCTTCCAATGAATATTCAGGGCTGACCTCCCTTAGGATAGACTGGTTGGATCTCCTTGCAGTCCAAGGGACTCTCAAGAGTCTTCTGCAACACCACAGTTCAGCCTTCATTTCCTATTGGTTTCTCCTTTCTCTTAGGTCCCGCCTCCACTTGTCACTTTTCCACTGGCCCCACCCTCTTCAGTATTCTTTTCCTCTATTAGTGGCTCCTCTGTTACATCTCTTTCTCCTTCACTGGACCCTGCTTTCCCACTGGCTCATCCTGATTGGGCACCACTTGACTGTTGTGCCTTTTCTAACTGGTCCTTTCTTTCCTCATTGGTTCTCCCTTCCTTCTGGCCCTTCATCCAAAGCTGTGCCCCCTCATTGGTTCTTTCCTAAATGGCCTCCTGCTTCCCTGTTGATTCCCCCTTCTTTTTTGGCTCTTCACTAACAGGCCCACCCTCCATGGTTCCTGCTGATCTATTGGGTTTATTTCTGTCTCTAGTCCTTTATCTAGTGACCCCTCTTGACCTTTGACTCTTCTCAGTTGGTTCCTCCACCATCAGCTTTCTCTACACTGTTCGCTTTCTTGATCCACATCCTTCAGCTGGCTCCCTTGCTTTATTGATTCCTCTTCTCCCATTAGTCCCTCCTCCGTTGATCCTTTCTTGATCATCTGTGTATCCTGATTGGTCCTTTTTGACAATTGGCCCCCTCCCTGATTGATATCTCCGCAGTGACCCTCCCTCCTCATTGACCCTTCATGTCACGTCCCCCGACTCCGTTTCATCCAGCTGTTGGTCTGCTCTCTTTGCCGGCTGTTCACTCATTGGCCCAGCTCTCGTATTTGCCCTCCCTCCCCACTGAACTTTCACCCACTGATTCACTCTCTCACTGACTCTCACCATGAACCACCTCCCCCCGCCATGACCCATCACCCAGCGATGACGGGTCACCCGCATTGTTCTCCCCCTACTGACCGTCTGCCATCTTGCCCCAGCCTAGGATGTGGCAGCTGGTGTGGTTGGCTGAGCAGTCTCTTTCCAGGGCCAGAGGCTGGATGTGTTCGGAGAACCTGGCTGGCCGTGACAGACGCAGCAGCATGATGTCCTGGTCGTGGGTGGCGGCATTGTAGCCTGGGTGGACCACGGTCCGGATGACAGAGCTCTCCTCCTGGAAAAACTCCCTTTGCTGAAGGTTGTGCTTCCCCAGGTAGACCTGCAGATTCCTGGGAAAGGAAAGGGCGGGGTCTCACCTGGAGCCCTTTGGACTGCAGCTGAGACTCTGGAGGGACCTACGGTGGGAGATGGGGTAGCTTGGTGCTACGAACCATCTGGCCTGCTGCTGGCCTCACGGTCTTCCCAGCTCAGCAAATGACAACTCCGTCCTTTCAGAACAACCACAGAGGCTATTCTTGACCTTTTATGTGTTGCTTCATATCTAAGCTGTCCAGAAATCCTTTTGTCTCTCCAAAGCATATCCAGAATCTGACCACTTCTCTCCTCCCCCCTACGACCATCTTGGTCTGAGCCACTGTAATCTCTTACCTGGACAGCAGCCTCACTGGACTCCTGGTTTCTCCCTTTGGTGTTCTCAAATCTGTCTTCCACAAAGCAGCCAGGACTATTTTAACAATATAAGCCAGCCTTGTACTCCCTCTGTCAGCACCCTCCCATGACTCCCATCTTGCTCAGAGTAAAGGCCAAAAATCCCACTGTGGTCCATAAAGTTTTGTACAATCTGTCCCCATTATCTGTTCACTGTGTCCCACTCTGCTTTTCTGCTCCAGCCACACAGGCTTCCCGGCCTTTCCTTGAACACAATAGTCATCCTCTCACCCCAGGACCTTTGCACTGGTTGTTCCACCTGCCAGAAACTCTTTCTCCCAGATACCTGCATGCCTCACTCCCTCACCTCCTTCAAATGTCACCTTCTCAGTGCGGCCTTCCCTGGAGACTCAATCACAGTGCAAATATTCAGACTTCCCTGGTGGTCCAGTGGTTAAGAATTCATCTGCCAATGCAGGGGACATGGGTTCAATCCCTGGTCTGGGAAGATTCTGCATGCTGTGGAGCAACCAAGCCCATGCAGCACAGCTACTGAGCCCACAGCCACGACTAACATCTGAAGCCCTCACGCGCTACAGACTGTGCCCTGCAACAAGAGGAGTTATCGAGATGAGAAGCCTTCCCACCGCAGCTAGAAAGTAGCTCTCACTTCCACAGCAATGAGGACGCAGTACAGCCAAAAAAAAAAGAAACAAATATTATTTTTTAAAAGATGAGATTTTTGTTTTAGTCAGGTACATCCTCCTTAGCGCCTAGACCAGTGTCTGGCCTATGACAGACATTGAATAAATATCTGTGAAATGGATCAAAGTGTTGCTCCCTTGCTCAGAAACTTTCTGTAGTTCCCTATTACCCTCGGAATAAAGCTCAAGTGCCTAATCCCATTATTCTCTGACCCTCAGTGAGCCAGTAATTTTCCTTAGAACTCTTCAGACTGTTCCCACCTCAGCTTTTTGGGCCGTGTATTTCCTCTGCCCTGGATGCTCAGCCTGCTTCTTCATTTGGTTCCCCTTTCTCATTCATTTTCTGTGCCTCAGCTTAAATTTCATCTCATCAGAAAGTCCTAACCCTCTTCAGTCTAAAATAGGAACTTCTGTTCTTTTCTCTCATGGAGCCACCCCTGTTTTTTCCTTTCATTGGACTTAAGAGTAATTTGTGATTATATGTTTCTCCCTCCCCCCAACCCCCACAGGGATTCAACAACTGTCTTCTGGTGCCTTTCTACTCCTGTGTCTCAAAGGGCAGAGACTCTGGGCCACTGTCTCCGTCTTTGCTGAGTCCTCACGGCCCAGCTCAAATCTAGCATTTGTGAGTTTCCTTGGTCAGTGTGCACTGAATGAATGAATGAGGATGGTGAGAGCGATGCCAGGTTTCTCTGTGTTTGGGGGAGACCACCCTGGAGGTCCTTGAGTCCTTGACCCTGAAGACGAGACCTCTGCTGAGGTCTCCCCTTGACCCCCCTGGGACACGACACCTTTTGGTTTATCACTTGTTACTTCTCGGAGCTTCAGCCCCTACATCTGCAAAATGGGTCTAAAAAGTCTGTTACTGGGCTTCCCTGGTAGCTTAGATGCCTGCAATGCGGGAGACCCGGGTTCGATCCCTGGGTCGGGAAGATCCCCTGGAGAAGGAAAACGGCAATCCACACCAGTATTCTTGCCTGGAAAATTCCATGGACGGAAGAGCCTGGTAGGCTACAGTCCATGGGGTTGCAAAGAGTCAGACACGACTGAGCGACTTCAATTTCTTTCTTTCTTTTTCACTATGCGGGATTCCATGTGCCTAACTAGACACGTGGCCCATAGTTAGCACTGAAAAACATGGAGGATGCTGTTCCTCTATCTCCTGGTTATTTGCGCTCTGAGGATTGGTCCAGGACCTGTGGCTGTTTAGTTGCTAAGTCGTGTCTGACTCTTGCGAGTCCACGGACTGTAGCCCGCCAGGCTCCTCCGTCCATGGGATTCTCCAGGAATGAATACTGGAATGAGTTGACATTTCCTTCTCCAGGGGATCTTTCCGACCCAGGGATCGAACCCGTGTTTCTTTGTCTCCTGCGGCAGGCGGGTTCTTTACCACTAGCGCCACCCCCGGCGGCAGCTCTTTCCAGGGTGCTCTTAAAAAATGTGAACCGGAACTTGCTGCTTCCCTGATGAAAACCCTACGCGGCTTCCCCCTGCACTTGGAGTTAAATCCACCCCTCCCTACAGGGCCCTGTAAGGTCCTCCTTCCCCATTTAGAAGGCCAGTTTATTAAAGCAGCAGTTTTGCTTGTTTTCCTCACTGCTCAACCCCCCCAGGGCCCCAAACACTGCCTGGCACGGATACTGTACTCAATTAAATACCGGCCAGTTGAGCCTGGTTATCAGACGGCGTCATGACGTGGGAGTCGTGCAGGTCTGCAAGAACTCCGCAGGGTCTAACGGCAGCGAGGATACTCACGGTTTTTTGCAGTGGGCAGCGGTGAGGACCCACAGCGGGTGAATGAGGACGCCTCCGCAGAGCAAGTGGCCCGACGTGTAGAGGGCAGCTTGATAGGGGTGAGACGTCTGCTCACAGGGTCCACCGTGGAGCACCTTGTTCTGCTCCTCCGCTTGGGCTGAGGGAGGGTCTGAGTGAGTGGGGAGGTCTGGAGGTGTCAGCTACACACCCCAAGCTGAACCCCATTGCTGCCTTGATCATCAGCTTCATCTCTATCCCCACCGCCAGAGTCAAACCCATCCCTAGACTTTCCTGTCTTTAAACCTGTGCGTGCCTGCTAACTCGCTTCAGTCGTGTCTGACTCTTTACAACCCCATGGACTACAGTGCACCAGGCTCCTCTGTCTTTGGAATTCTCCAGGCGAGAATACTGGAGTGGGTTGCCATGCCCTCTTCCATGGGGGTCTTCCTGACCCAGGGATTGAACCTGTGTCTCTTATGTCTCCTGCATTGGCAGGCGAGTTCTCTGCCACTAGGGGCCTCCTGGGAAGCCCATTTTTAAACCCACCTCCGACCAATTTCCCCATGTCCCAAATCAACCTCAACCTCTTCCACATCTTGAAGCCCACCTCCCACCCCTCCCCCACTCGCATCCCTCATCCCTAACTTAAACTCCCCGATGTCCTCCTCATTCTAAACCCCCTCCCCGGCATACCCATGTGTGTCCCCATCCCCAATTCCATTCTCTTCCCCATCAACCACCCCCCATCCCCTGCCCAAACTGACTGCCTCACGTCACCGCCCTTTTGCCCACCTGCAGCGCCCAGAACCAGTGCTATGACCAGCATCTTCACGGCCATTCCTGAAAAGGGAAGCCAAGTGCTGCATTAGTCCCAGCCTCAGAGTTCGCCCAGGCTCCTCCCTCCCCATCCTCCCCATCCTCCCCATCCTCCCCATCCTCCCCGGCTGGCTATGCTCTCCTGACCCTTGGCTTCCATCCTTCCCATTTAGCCTCCCGGTTTTTTACCTTCCCAACCCACGCCTTCCATCTGAGGGTCCCACGAAGGTGGGGGTGCCAGCGAGGCCCCAGAACCTGCTGTTCACCCTGCCCTTCTCCTGATGCTTCTACACTTGTTCTTTTTTCTCCTCTTGGCTCTAGTTTGCCTGCTCAGTAACAGGACGGAGGGCCCCAGATGTTCTTCCCTTGCCCTGGGGTTTCTCCCCCTCCCCTTGGCTCTGAGCTTACCTGAAACTCACCTCCACACCTGGGGCTTCTGCGGAGGCCAGCTGCGGGGGGCAGGGGGGTGGGATGGGCCGGTTCTTGGGTTGGGGGCAGGGACAGTAGGTGTCCCCAGTGGATGGATGGACGAGGAGACAGAGAGAGTCAGAGGTGCAGGGAGCTGGGCAGAGAGAAGGCACGCTGAAAGCAGAGGCAGGCAGAGGTAGGGGGCTGAAAGCAGAGAACGTGGGCACCCGGGGCCTGGCGGACAGACACCCCAGCGCCCCGGCCTGCCTGCAAGAGGTCCGTCGTGTCCTCAGATGCTCCCATGCTTCCTTTTAACCCCTGCCTCCCCGGGCCCCTGGAGCAGGAGGCCGCCCCGCCCTTTCCTCCTTCCCCGGGCCTCCCACGCACATTCCTCCCACCCCCACAGCTCTGCTTCTGCTGACCCCTGATCCCGGCTTCAAGGGAAGGGGGTGCAGGTTCCTGAGTGCACCAGGGGGGCGACTCCCCGACTCCTGGGTCAAGGAAGGAGGGGCTGGGGGCTGAGAATTCTGGACCTCCAAGGAGAAAGGGGCTGGAAATCTGCACACCTGGACCTAAAGGCAGGAAGGGCAGGAGCTTGTCCTCAGTTCCTAGACTTCCAGGTCCTCAAGCACGACAGGGTGGGAGCACCCCAGAAGACCTGCGTCCCAGGCAAGCACGCAGTACCCCAGGCCTCCAGGACTCCCACCGCTCCTGTGAGTGCTCTGGGGCCTGCGGGCCATCAGTGCCCCGGGGCATAGGCCACCAGGCGGCAAGGGTTCAGTGGGGTTGGGGTGATTCACGCACCTGCCCTGAAGTCGCCTCTGTGGGTGTTCAAGAGCCTCCGTGTCCCCGCAAGACAGAGCAAGCCGACCAGCAAGAGAGTGTGTGTCACCAAGCCGGTCCCCACCCCGGCCCCAGGCTGGGGTGCAGAGCCAGGCACTATGGGGAAAGGGCCTTGGAACAATCGGGCTTTGTCCGCCCCAGCACCCCGTGCCATGCTCCTGGCACCTCCATTTCTCAAGCTTTCTTCCGGGCAGGCGGAAGTGCAGCTTCATCAATAACTTCCCTTTGTCCCTCTCCGACTGTGCTGTGATTGTTCATCCACCTCTGGCCGGATACCGGGGCTCTTGACCCTCCTGGTCCCCCTCTTCCGTGTCTCTGTCCATCTCTCTTCCTGGCGGTGGTGGCGGGGCCTCCATCTCTTTTTCTCTGTCTGCTTCTGTCTCAGCATCCTTTGCCTCTTTATCTTTTTCTCTGATCGCCGTCTTTCCCCCTTGATTTTCCGTGTCTCCACTGACACTCTAAATCTCTCTTCTTACCTCTCCTAGCTTCCCCCTGCGTTTCCAGGAGAAGCATTTGTATCCACAGAGGGGTTTAACTCCTGGAGAAGGGGTGACCTGGAAGTGGGAGCCCCAGGGGAGCTAGTGGGACCCAGGGGGACTTCAGGACTTGAAGATTTCACATCGATATGGAAATCAGAATGAGACCTGGAAATAGGCAGGGATGCAGGACCACTGGGTAGCCACTTGGAAATGTGATGAGTAATGGGGATTCAGGAAGCCATGGAGGCGTCCAGGGAAGATTTGAAGAGGTGTCTTTGAACTTGAGCTTGCGATCAGGAGGAGAATGGGGGTAGTTCAAGGGTCTGGCCCAGGTGGGGAAGCAACTGACTGGTGATGAGCTGGAGCCCCGAGGGTGTGTGTGGCCGCGTGGCAGGAAATGGGTGTGGTGATCAGATGGAACGGGTGGGATGGAAAATGGAAGCTTTTGGGAAAGTCATTGGGTAATAAGTCCAACTGATATGAATAATGTCTACCTCAGCAACCAGCGTGGGCCTGGCAGTACAGGTTAACATTTAATTCTTGCATTAAATCGAATTGTCACCACCTTGGCTCGGCCCCCGTCACCCCTGGGATGAAAACTGATTTGGCCTTTGATATGCTCTGTCAGTCCTGGGTGTTCATTGGAAGGACTCATGCTGAAGCTGAAATTCCAATACTTCAGCCACCTGATGCAAAGAGTTGACTCATTGGAAAAGACCCTGATGCTGGGAGGGATTGGGGGCAGGAGGAGAAGACAACAGAGGATGAGACGGTTGCATGGCATCACCGACTCAATGGACACAAGTTTGAGTAAACTCTGGGAGTTGGTGATGGACAGGGAGGCCTGGCGTGCTGCGATTCATGGGGTCGCAAAGAGTCGGACACGACTGAGCGACTGAACTAAACTGAACTCTTGCCTGGAGAATCCCCATGGACAGAGGAGCCTGGAGAGCTACAGTCCATAGGGTCATGAAGAGTTGGTTGGGGCGGAAAGCAACTGAGCACTCAGGCATGCTCTCTGGGGAGGCTCCTCCCACCCCCACCCCCAGCCTCCTCCAGCCCTTCTCACTCACCTCCCCACTGAACTCAGCATCTTCTTCTCAGGACCCCCCATCCTCCCAGATATCAGGCTGGACTGCTCATAGCCACTGATCCCCAAGCACTGTGCCCCCACCTCCTCTCTCTCTGTGATCCCCTCTCTCCGTCCCCATGTCCCTGGTCCCAGGTCAACCCTGCTCCTCTCCTATCTGGACCATTATTGCAAATTCTTCCCTTTCTCTGTATCCTTCACTTGACCTCAGAGGCATCTCCCTGTGTCCAGAGCTGACCCTGCCTCTGTCCTGCTCACACCCCTGGCATGGGTCCCCCAGCATCACTGGGACAAAGTCCCAGCCCTTCAGCATTCAGGGCAGCTCCGGCCAATAGAAATATAATGCCAGGGACACGTGCGCTTTTAAATTTTCTAGCAGCCACACAATTTTTTTTAAGTAAAATATTTATTTTAATATCTCATTTAGCTCAATGCACCCAAAACAAAAAATTTCAATGTGACATCAAAATACAATTTTAAGGAGGCGGTTCGCTTTCTCATTTTTTACGTAGTAAGTGTTTGAATCCCACGTGTCTTTTACACATATGTGCATGCTGAGTCGCTTCAGTCATGCCCAACTCTTTGCGACCCCCATGGATTGTAGCCCGCCAGGCTCCTCTGTACATGGGATTCTCCAAGCAAGAACCCTGGAGTGGGTTTCCATGCCCTCCTCCAGGGGATCTTCCTGACTCAGGGGTCAAACCCAGGTGTCCTGTATTGGCAGGTGGATTCTTTACCATTTGAACCACGAGGGAAGCCCCTTTTATACTTACAGCACCCCTCAATTGGAACTTGTCACATTTCACGAGTCAGGAGCCACCAAGGTAAGTGGCTGCCTCATTGACCAGTACAGCTCTGCCCCTCTTGTCTTCTAGGGCTCCAGCCTTGGAGACTAGAAGTTTTCCTGAACCATTCATTCCGTGTCTTCTAACCTCTAAGCTTTCGCTTATGCTATTCCCCTCTCCCACAGTGCTCTTCCCACCTCCTCCTGGCAACAACTTGTCATTGCCTCCTTCAGGAAAGCGTCCCTGAACACCACCCAACTTCCAGCCTCTTGCAGGTGGGTTGGTCACTCTCATCGAAGTTCCTAGAGCAGGTGGCTCCTTCATAGCACCATCTGGGTCCATCTCCCACACTTGGACCGTGCACTCCTTGAGGGCAGACCCTAGGGCTGACTCACCCCTGTGTCCCAAGTGCCAGCACAGGTACTTGGCCCAGAGGAATCCTTAGGAAATGTTTACCAAGTGACTAAATGACTTCATTACGCCCACTCCTGTTTTACAGAAAATAAAACTGAGGCTCAGAGAAGGGAATTTAGTTGCTCAACCTCAAACACCCAGGGAACGATGGAGCCTGAACTGGAACTCAACTTCCAACACGGCCATGGACATGGCCCATCTCTTGGGCGCCACCTCTGGATCCACCTTACTACTATGTGGGATGGGTAGAGTTTTGAGGAGTTGTAGAGAGCCCCTTGGGAAAGGAGGGAGGTGGTCAGCAGTGGGGAGTGGAAGAAGCTCTAACAGAGAGAATGAAGTGCCCAACTCTAGGCATTTGCCAGTGACTTTCATGGTTTTGCCACCCCCACATGCCATGCATGCTTATCCCCTGCAGAAGTCTTCAACGAAGAAGATGTTTGGGACTTCCCTGGTGGCCCAGCAGTTAGGAGGTCACCTTCAAGTGCAGGGAGTTCAGGCTCGGTCCCTGGTCAGGGAGCTAAAATCCCTCATGCCTTGGGGCCAAAGACCCAAAACATAAAACAGAAGCAATATTGTGACAAATTCAAGAAAAGACTTTAAAAATAGTCCATGTTACAGAAAAACTGAAAAAAAAAAGAAAATGCTTTATTAGAAAACTTTATGAAAGTAGAAGCAGGAAGAAGAGCCGGAAGTCACAGACCATAAAAACCAACCCTCACTGCAGGCTTACTCTATGTCAGACATGGTTCCTGCACTTTCTGGATATTAAATGTATTCTTTGTAACAGCCATGGGAAACAGATGCTATTTCCCTCATTTCCGGGGTGAACGGGGGATTTCCCTGGTGGTCCAGTGGTTAAGACTTTGCCCTCTCAATGTGGGTTCAACTCCTGGTTAGAGAGCTAAGGTCCCACACACTGGGGGATGTGGCCAAAAATGTAAAGAAAAAATTAAAAAAAAAGGATGAAGGAATTTGAGAAGGAGGGGACATATGTATACCTATGGCTGATTCATGCTTATGCATGGCAGAAACCAACACAGTACTGTAAAGCAATTATCATTTAATTAAAAATAAGTGAATTAAAAAAAAAATAAAAGCACAATACCAGAAAAAACAAAAACAGAAACAACAACTACTTCTGTAAACCCTCCGTAGAAACACCGAATCTTACAATAAATTCTCCTGAACGTCCCTTTACTGAGATACCATGATTCCCATTGTGTGCAGTTTCCTCCACTCCAACAAGCAATAAACTTAATTTTTTCTACTTAAAAAAAAAAAAAAGGATGAAAGAAAAAAGGTGGGGAAGTGATGCGCTCAAAGGCAAATAGCTCACAACTGCCAGAACGGGATTGGCACCAAAAAGCTGTTTCTAGAGTCAGTGTCTTTAACGACTACAGTGTACCGTCGGCCCAGAAAAAAGAATTTGTTTTTTAAAAAAATTCAACACAAGAACACTCTCAAGTCATTGCAAACCAACCCACCTTCAAATTTGCATACAGATCTGCCTAGAGGCATAGTCAACTATCCCCAGGCTGACCTAGTGAAACTGCTTTGCTTTGCTGTTTAAAAATGTTTAGATTAAATATGGATTTAGAGAGAGGGGACGATGGTGGAGCCTCACAAAGGTAGTGGCCAAATACTCTGATTTTGGCCACACTGCATAGCATGGGAAATCTTAGTTCTCTGATCAGGGATTGAACCTTTGCCTCCTGCAGTGGAAGTGCAGATTCTTAACCACTGGACCACCAAGGAAAGTCCCCCAAAGCCTTTTGAAATTCCTTAAACTTGACACTTAAATATGCCAGCAAGTTTGGAATGTGAGCAAATTTGGAAAACTCAGCAGAGGCCACAGCACTGGAAAAGGTCATTTTCCATTCCAGTCCCAAAGAAAGGCAATGCCAATGAATGCTCAAACTACCGCACAGTTGCACTCATCTCACACGCCAGTAAAGTAATGCTCAAAATTCTCCAAGCCAGGCTTCAACAATACATGAACCGTGAAATTCCAGATGTTCAAACTGGTTTTAGAAAAGGCAGAGGAACCAGAGATCAAATTGCCAACATCTGCTGGATCATCGAAAAGCAAGGGAGTTCCAGAAAAACAACTACTTCTGCTTTATTGACTATGCCAAAGCCTTTGACTGTATGGATCACAATAAACTGTGGAAAATTCTGAAAGAGATGGGAATACCAGACCACCTGACCTGCCTCTTGAGAAATCTGTATGCAGGTCAGGAAGCAACAGTTAGAACTGGATATGGAACAACAGACTGGTTCCTAATAGGAAAAAGAGTATGTCAAGACTGTATATTGTCACCCTGCTTGTTTAACTTATATGCAGAGTACATCATGAGAAACGCTGGGCTGGAAGAAGCACAAGCTGGAATCAAGATTGCCGGGAGAAATATCAATAACCTCAGATATGCAGATGACACCACCCTTATGGCAGAAAGTGAAGAACTAAAGAGCCTCTTGATGAAAGTGAAAGAGGAGAGTGAAAAAGTTGGCTTAAAGCTCAACATTCAGAAAACTGAGATCATGGCATCTGGGCTCATCACTTCATGGCAAATAGATGGGGAAATAGTGGAAACAGTGGCAGACTTTATTTTATGGGCTCCAAAATCACTGCAGATGGTGACTGTAGCCATGAAATTAAAAGAGCTTACTCCTTGGAAGGAAAGCTATGACTAACCTAGACAGCATATTAACAAGCAAAGACATTACTTTGCCAGCAAAGGTCTGTGTAGTCAAGGCTATGGTTTTCCCAGTAGTCATGTATGGATGTGAGAGTTGGGCTATAAAGAAAGCTGAGTGCTGAAGAATTGATGCTTTTGAACTGTGGTTCAACTGTTGGAGAAGAGTCTTGAGAGTCCCTTGGACTGCAAGGAGATCCAACCAGTCCATACTAAAGAAAATCAATGCTGAATATTCATTGGAAGGACTGATGCTGAAGCTGAAGCTCCAATATGTTGGCCACCTGATTTGAAGAGCTGACTCATTTGAAAAGACCCTGATGCTGGGAAAGATGGAAGGCAGGAGAAGAAGGGGACTACAGAGGATGAGGTGGTTGGATGGCATCACCAACTCAATGGACATGAGTTTGAGTAAACTCTGGGAGTAGGACATGACTGAGCGACTGAACCGAACTGAACTGAACCTTGACCCAGATTCAGAGGCCAGAAGAGATTGGGTCTCTGGACTCTGGTCTGAGGGAGGAGGGGGCTTTGGGTTGGAATGCCAAAGGAAGTTAAGACATTCTGCAGGGACAGTGGAATTCCTGCAATACGCGGAGGGGTGGGAGAGTGGGAGGTGAGGCGAGAAGGAAAGTTGGTGGAGCTTCCACAAGAGGAGAATGTTGACTGGGAGGGAGTTCTGGAGGAGCAACTGGAAAGACTGGCAGGAGAGGATCCCTTTGTCAGCAGCTTCTGATGTGTGACTCCCCGGGGAGCCTCTGATGGCAGGAGCAGGGGTGTGGCCAGGCTGAGTCACTGGGGCTTCTCCCTCCTCCCTTTGTGAGGCCCCTTCTTGAGGATTGGAGCCCACCTACTCGGGTTCCCAGCCCCCATTTCCCCTGACACCCTGGAGGCTGGGCGTTCACCCTCAGTGACACAGTCCCTTGTGTGACCCAGGGGCCCTGCCTTCCTGCCAACCCTCTGCTTCCACCTCGTTCTGCTACTGCATCACCTGTGGAATGCCCAGAAACACCTTCACATCCCTCTACACCCTGATGAAGCGGCATATTCTCTACCGCCGCCCCTTTACTCTCTCTGCCTTATTGTTCTTTCTCTCTCCCATTTTACAGATGAGGAAAACTGAGACCTGGAAAATGGAGGAAAATATGCCACTGGGCAGGGAGGCAGGACAAGGGACCAAAAATCAGATACATTTTTCTTTCCCGTCTCCCTCTCTTCAGGGTGTCTTCTCCTCCACTTTGGAGCTCCAGAGCTTCTCCACCTTTGTTTTTCAGGCTATTAATGTGCACACCCACAGAAAAATAAATGGAAGGAAGCAGGCGCCCCATGACTATCACCGTATGCAGGTTGGTACACGTCCTTTCAGGTTTTATTTTGTGAACATTTTCATTTTACATAGTGAGAACCACATACACATGTATTTCTGTATATTCCTTCCTTCATTTAACATCACATAGCATAAACATCCTCACATGATACTAAGAATTCTGCGTAATTACTATCCTTAACAGCTTCAGAATATCCTTGCCTCAAACCAGCCTACTGTTTGAACAATCCACTGTTTCTAGACACCTTTGGTGCTTCCACTATTTTGTTATGAAATATAACATTGTGATAAATTCAAACTTTGCCCCACATTTTGGATTTTTTTTTTAGTAGACAACTAGGAATTACTAGGTCAAAGGTGGAGGACAAAACAAATGTCCCCACTCACACTGCCAAATCACCTTCCATAAAAACTGTATGAATTCACAGTTTCAGTGGGAGAGAGGGCTGGTCTCACTACATCCTTACCAACATCAAGGTTTTGTATTTGTTTTGGTTTTTAGGTCTGATTTGATTGGCTTACACACATATTGTTGAGGTTTTGACATGCCTCAAGTAGGACTGTAGGTCACTGAGGTCCTATTTCTGTGAATTTCCTGTTCCACCGCGTAGGGATGGAGAGATGGGAGTGGAGAGATTAATGATATCTTCTCATGGTCCCTTTTATCCAGTCGACATACTTGCAGACTTGGGTATAGACACCTGGGTTGTTGGGTTGGCCACAAGGGAAACTTCCCCAGGACACCAGGCCTTGCAAGGTACCTTTGCACATCAGTGGTCCCCCTGAGTCACCCTGGAAGGGATAAAGCAAATTAGCTTCAGCTTCAGAGCAAAGCTCCTGCTCCCGCCTCAGTAGTCAGTCTTTGTCTGGCGGATCCAATTGAGGAGAAGATAAACCACGTTCTCTAACGACATTGGCTTGAGCCCCAGCCCGTGGGACCAATCACAGGGAAGGGGCGGGGCTTCTGGCGGTCAAAGCCCCATTTCCTCCTGGTCTTTGGGGATGGCACCAAGCCAAGGGAGGAAAAAGCAATATCTCCAGGGGATGGATAGATGTGCGAAAGGGGGACGGGGTGGCTCTGGAACCCAGGGGACAAACTGATGAAATAATTGACAAGGCCCAGTGCAAAATGAAAATGCAAAGAATTCCCTGGAGGTCCATTGGTTAGGACTTGGCACTTTCACTGCCGGTAGCCTGGGTTTGAGCTCTGTTGAGAGAACTAAGATCTACCATGTGACCTGGTACTGCAAAAAAAAAAAAAAAAAGAAAGAAAGAATGAAAGAAAATGTGGGCTCCGTAGCTCAAAAAGTATTAAAAATTTCAAAACAGCAACAGGAATGTGTTAAACCAAGCGTGGGACTCTCCCAAGTGTGGGACCCTGTGTCACTGTACGACTCACACATTCAAGAAGCCGGCCGTCACTAGGGGAGGAAGAGGACGCCTTACTCTTTGGGACACACTTTCCTGTCCCATCACCCCACCCCTCACACATATGGTTCCCCCCATTCCTGACAGCTGAGGATGCAGGTGAGAGGCAAAGGAGTCGGGGTGGGGAGGTATGGGGCGAGAGACAAGGAAAGGCAAAGAGTCACAGAGGAAAGGGACCTAGGGGACTTCCGTGGTGGTCCAGTGGCTAAGAATCCACCTTCCAATGTGGGGGGACATGGGAGCTCAGGGAACTACGATCCCACATGCTGTGGGACAATGAAGGGAAAAGAAAAAGGAAGAGAGTTATAGCAAAGGATGGAGAAGAGGCTGCCACTGGGGATGGATGGGGAAACACAGATGGAAAAAACGAAACGAAATTCAGTGTAAAGAGAGATGTGGGAAGATGTTCAGAGACTCTTTGTGACCCCATGGACTATACAGTCCATGGAATTCTCCAGGCCAGAATACTGGAGTGGGTAGCCTTTTCTTCTCCAGGGGAATCTTCCCAACTGAGGGATCGAACCTAGGTCTCCCACACTGCAGGCAGATTCTTTACCAGCTGAGACACCAGGGAAGCCCAAGAACACTGGAGTGGGTAGCCTATCCCTTCTCCAGCAGATCTTCCTGACCCAGGGATCGAACTGGGGTCTCCTGCATTGTAGGTGGATTCTTTACCAACTGAGCTATCACAGAGAGGGAGTTACAAAGAAGAGGGGAGAGAGAATTCTTGGCCTAAGACTGGGTCCCAAGGGTGGGGAGTGAGACCTTAGCTTTAAGCACACAATCTCAGTAATTGCAATAAATACTGTTTTAATGCAATACCTTAAAAATTGAATTTAATATGAAAAAGCTCATGATGAACACTGTATCCCAATTTTAGATAAAGGGTCAGGTACCAGGCTGTGCTGAGACTCATTGAAGCCTGAGGCAGATGAGAAATTCAGTAAGACTGAGGCTTCTTTATTGAAAATTCTGATATTTTGTTCATCGTGGACTTTTGCATGAATTGACAAAAAAAATATTGCATTAGAATGTGATTTATCTTGATTACTGAGTTTTTTGGGTGCCTCTTCCCCTGTCAAGTTTGTGTTTGGGGGCTTCATTGGTGGCTCAGATGGTAAAGAATCCACATGCAATGCAGGACACCTGGGTTTGATCCCTGGGTCAGGAAGATCCCTTGGACAAGAAAATGGCAACCCACTCCAGAGTTCTTGCCTGAAGAATCCCATGGACAGAAGAGCCAGGTGGGTTACAGTCCATGGAGCTTCAAAGAGTCAGACACGACTGAACGCCTAAACCACCACCACCGTGTTCATGGATTGTGATAATCAACAAAGATGTCAATTAAAAAATAAATACAGTTTGTGTTTGAAGCCAAGGCCACACATGCCTACCCGTTGGCCCCCAGGTTCCCCACCCCCAGACCCTCCCGTTCATTTCTCTGCCTCATCCTCAGGGTCACATCAGCCCGCACTGGGCTCCCACTACTGACCTGAGCAGAGAATGGGGTAGTGAGAGCTCAGAAAGCTGAGCCTGGGGCGGGGGCTGCAGGGGTGATGGGAGAAGGCTCTGCACCAAGGTCAGGTGCAGAGATTGTGGGTGAAGGGGGACAACGGGGGCTCTATGCTGAGATGAAGCAGTTGGGGACCCAGGGCAGGGGAGGAAGGGGGTCTCACGTTGCAGGCGTTGGTGCTGGAGTTGGGGATCCCAGCACAGAGCATGGAGTCTCCCAGCAAGTCCTTATAAACCTTCTTGCAGTCTTGGGGAGAGATGAGCTTGACGTCTGTGCACATAAGCTGCACTGGAAAGGTCACTGCGGGATGGGGAGGGGTGTCATCAGAGGTCTGGGGTCCAGATGGGGAGAGGATGGAGGTTCAGGATTCTAGACCCTGAAGGACGAGGGGAGGAGGGGTGGGGGGAGGGACTCCACATTAGGATCATGAAAAGGGGGCTGACTCCTGGTCTCCTGGGTCTGGGGGAGGAAGGGTCAGGGTCTGGGGCCCCTGAATCTCCCAGGCAGCCTCACCATCAGGACTGGTGGTGGTGCCCCAGCCGGAAATGGTGCACATGGTCCCGGGGGGGTCGCAGCGGGAAGGCAGGTTGACTTTCTTCACACTGGACGACAGCTTGGCCCGGCCGTTTAGCTTCACCAGCATGAGGTCGTTGGTGTGGGTCTGTGTGGAGTAGCCCGGGTGGCGGAAGGACTGTGTGGCCTTGATCTTCTGGCCGCCCACCAGCTGATCACTGCCCACGTGCACGCTGTACTCACTGGAGGAGGGTGTAGTGTTCAGAGAGATGCTGTGAGTGAGACGGGGGCAGGGACCCAGGGAGACGGGGGCGGGGACCCAGGGAGAGGGGGGGCGGGGACCCAGGGAGAGGGGGGCGGGGACCCAGGGAGAGGGGGGCGGGGACCCAGGGAGAGGGGGGCGGGGACCCAGGGAGAGGGGGACGGGGACCCAGGGAGAGGGGGGCGGGGACCCAGGGAGAGGGGGGCGGGGACCCAGGGGGAGGGGGGCGGGGACCCAGGGAGAGGGGCGCGGGGACCCAGGGAGAGGGGCGCGGGGACCCAGGGGAAGGGGGGCGGGGACCCAGGGAGAGGGGGGCGGGGACCCAGGGAGACGGGGGCAGGGACCCAGGGAGAGGGGGGCGGGGACCCAGGGAGAACGGGGGGCGGGGACCCAGGGAGAGGGGGGCAGGGACCCAGGGAGAGGGGGGCGGGGACCCAGGGAGAACGGGGGGCGGGGACCCAGGGAGAGGGGGGCGGGGACCCAGGGAGAGGGGGGCGGGGACCCAGGGAGACGGGGGCGGGGACCCAGGGAGAGGGGGGCGGGGACCCAGGGAGAACGGGGGGCGGGGACCCAGGGAGAGGGGGGCGGGGACCCAGGGAGAGGGGGGCGGGGACCCAGGGAGAGGGGGGCGGGGACCCAGGGAGAGGGGGGCAGGGACCCAGGGAGAGGGGCACGGGGACCCAGGGGAAGGGCTGGAAGTGCTCCCAGCGCCCCTGCCCACGTACTTCATCATGCAGTGGGCAGCGGTGAGCACCCACTGCTCGCTGATCAGCACACCTCCACAGTGGAGTTGACTGCCCTTGAGCAGGGCCACCTGCCAGGGCTGGGAGCCTCTTGGACACGGGACTCCATCAATAATCTTGTCCCCACTCTTGTCGCCCTGGTCTGGACAGAGACATGGAGGAACACATGGGCAGCAAGCCTCAGAGGAAGGCTGAGTCAGCAGCTGAGGGATCTGGAGACAGATGGAGACAGACAGATAGACAAGGAGACAGGCTGAAAAGGAGAACAGTGCAGAAAAAGCAGGAGATGGAGACGGAGAGAGACAGAGGCAGCCCACTCTGAAGCCCAGGGGAGCATCTCGTCTGGGGGCCACCGCCGAAGCTGATGGGAGAGACCCTACTTGCTGGATACAGGGTCTGGGGGGCACAGAGACCCCGGGAGGTAGAAGGAGGCAGGGAGGAAGGAGGCAGGAGGCAGAAGAGTCTTGTTTTCCAAAGGAGAAGCTGAGCCGGGGGAGGCCCTGAGCAGGCATGCCCCAGAGAATGAAGCCCCTGAGGAGGGTCAACGGGGCTGAAGATGGGGGGTCAGGGGTGAGGGCAGCCCCCCACCCCCACCTCCGGGCTGTCCGCACCTTCCTGTGCAGCAGATCCCAGGGCGAAGGTCAGCAGCAGGATCAGCAAGGGTGTCGCCATGGTGACCCCTCTGAGCCTCTCAGGGGCTGCCAGGCAGGGAGGTCCTCTTCCGATGGGGCTGAAAAGGACACAGTTCAGGAAGCAGGAGTCCTAGCCCGCAGCCCCTCCTCCCTCAGACCAAGGGGTCCAGACCCCCAGACGCCCTTCCCCGCTGGGCTCCCATCCCTCCCCAATCCATCAATCTGTATTCCTAGTTTCTTTCCCCCTGAGACCTCAAATTCTAGACCTCCAGCCCCTCGACCGTCAGAACCAGGCGTCCAGGCTTCCCTCTGCCCCCGCCCCTCAGGAACAGGAGTCAGGGGTCCAGCCAGCCTCATCCGCCCCCTCTCCCCCGCTCTCCCCCCACCGGAGATGAAGCCCCTTCTCAGCTCGGGGAGGTCAGATCCGACCCGGGCGCCAGACCAGGCCAGGCGTCTCCAGCCCGGCGCGGGGCGGCTGTCTTATACCGAGTCCACTCCTGCCCCCGCCCTCGGCGCCCTGGGGTGCAAGTGGGGCGGGCTCTGGGACGCCCCCTCCCACGTTCGCGGTTATCTCGAACCCCTGCGGCAGCCCAGGCACTTGCACTCGGCTCTCTCCACCCTCTCACCCCCACGCCTTCGGGCCGGCATCCCGGGTGCAGCTGCGGAGGGAGGACCCAGACGCTCCGGCCCTGGGGCGGCGGGGCGGAGTTCAGGGGGCAGCAGGGATGAGGAAATGGGCTCTGGCTGGCCCTCCTCCGGGGCCGGTTTCTTGCCGGCATCTCCTCTCAGGGATGCCCTAGACCCGGTACCCTAATTCTCACCAGTTTGGGAGAATTCGTTCAGGCTGGAGCCCAGTCGTCTTTGAACCTGAACCCATTCCCAGCCCTCACACAGGGTTAGTTGCTCAGTCGTGTCTGACTCTTGGCCACCCCGTGGACTGTAGCCCCCGCCAGGCTCCTCCGTCCATGGGATTCTCCAGGCAAGGATACTGCGGTGGGTTGCCATTCCTTTCTCCAGGGGATCTTCCCGACCCCGGGATCGAACCCCAGTCTCCTCAATTACAGGCAGATTCTTTTTAATTTAACCCTCATACAGGGTATGAATTAAAAAGAAGATGCTCTTTCCTAACTGGATAAATGCTTACTGTTATCAGTATCATCTGTTTTCATATTATACTCAGATTTCTATACATACTCTGTATTTATAACAAAAGTTTCTGTATTAAACATTATCTAATTAATATCACCTCTTTCTTTATAAATTACCTTGAAGAATTTTTCCTCTTAGTATATTTAGATGGGTTCCCCTTCCTTCTTAAGGGTTGCATAATACTATTCCATATTATAGCTGTATCATGATTTATGCAATCTGTTTCAAATTAGAGTATGTTTGGATAGTTTTAATTGTAATAATGCTGGGTTGTGCTTCCTTGTACATTCCTCTTTGCTAATTATGTTCATTCAAGAAATATTTACTGAGCATCTGTTCTGTGCCAGAAATTATTCTGGCTCCTGGGGACATTGTGGTCAGCATTCCTTCATATAAGCTCTTGTTCTAGTGGGTGGAGACTGGGAATAAAAAATAAGCGTATAAAATACATGCCTTGTTTATTAGATGTTGGTAAGTACTGCAGAGAAAACTAAAAGCAGGGAAGAGGGACAGGGAGATACTGGTTTCTCCCACTCTCAGGGACCCCTGGGGTTGTATTATTAGGAAGATTCCACATGAAGATGGCATTTGAACAAAATCTTAAAGGAGTTGGTGGATGGGTCCACGTGGCTTCTTGGAGGGAGTGAGTTCTAGGCGGAGCAAATGGGCCAATAAGTTAGGCATGAGGCACGAATAGAATGTACTAGAAGGGGAGCCCTTTTTGAAATTTTCATTTATTCATTTTTGGCCATGCTGGGTCTTCGTGGCTGTGTGAGGGCTTTCTCTAGTTGCAGTGAACGGGTTCTGCTCTCTGTTGCAGGCTCGGGCTTCTCATTGCAGATGCGTCTCTTTTTGCACAGCACAGGCTTTAGGCGTGTGGGCTTCAGTAGCGGTGGCTCGTGGGCTTCAACAGCCGTGGCTCATGGGTTCTACAGAACACGCTCAGAAGTTGTGGCCCGTGGGCCTAGTTGCTCCTAGGCACATGGAACCTTCCCTGACCAGGAATCAAACCCCTGTCCCCTGCATTGGCTGGCAGACTCTTGTCCACCGCGCCACCACGGAAGTCCAAGGGAGCCCTTTGACTGGAGCTGAATGAGCGGAGCGCAGGGCAGGCGACGAGGTGAGAGAGGTAACAGGACTTGGATGACATAGGATCTTGAAAATCAGTGTAGGACTTTGGCACTTACCTTGAGTAAGATGGGAACCATTATACCTGAAGGCCAGTTCCTAAAAGTCAGACCCCCAAAATGTGATCTGGTCCTCAACCCTGAGCCTAAATCTTACCTCAGTTCTGACCCCTAAACAAACTCTAGGTTTGTCCCATAATTTGGCCCATAACAGACATTACTGTTGTCTACTTAAGCATTCACTCCTTCTGCCTTTCTATCAGAACTCCAATTTTGTTTGGATAATCTTTTATGCTCATCATGACTATGAAGTTTACTGCATCAAGCAGGAAAACCATATCCTGCCCACCAGGGATTGGTTTAGAAATGAACGGGTGATGCAGGTCTGGCCAATGAGGAGTGAAGGGGAGACCCCTGGGGCTTTCTTATTTTCAAAAAGAGACACTGGCAAAATTCTCTTTTCTTTCTTCTAGATAGTACCCCCTCTGGATGTAAATTTTAGAAGCATGGCAGCCTTCCTGGGACTGGGGAGAGAAGTGGCTAGTGGACCAAGCCAAAACACTGCAGATAGTCAAGCTGAGAGATCGAGTGATGTAACAGGATTTGTACTTTCAAAATATCACTCTGGCTGCTATATGAAGGACGGATTTTAAGGGGGTGTGGAGACATGAGAAAACTATTGTTATTGTTCCGATGACAGTTGGTGACATCTTGGATAAAGCCATTTGGGAGGTTGAGATGGTAATAAGTGGAAGGATTCAAGGTACATATAGGGGAATCAACAGGTCTTGGCAATGGATTAAATGGAAGCTGTGGAGAGGGAGACAGGTGTTAAGACTTCGAAGTCTCTTGTTTGATGGATGGAGCTGCCATTCACTGAGAAGACATGGCTGGATATGATCAAGTGCTCAAGACAAAGTGAAAAGACCTCACTCTTTTTCACAGAATGCCGAGGAGACTGAAGAGAACCCTAATCCTTACTTTGACACAATTCTCAACACTAGTCTTTTTTTTTTCTTAATAATGCAACTACTTTATTATAAGCCTGAATGTCATGTCACCTAACTCATATTCTAAAATGCTGTATGGGAAACAGAACAAGTAAGTATATTAAAAGATGGTAGTCCACCTTCTCATTCCCCGCTCTAGCATTGATGAAGGATATGGTCAAATTATAGACATTTTAAAAGGTAACATAATAGATTTCACTTTGAATTCTGACCAAGCTTGGAGCGTGGTATCTGATGGTAGAAGATACAGATACTGAAGGTTTGTTGTTGCGGAGCACAGGTTCTAGGCACGTGGGCTTCAGTAGTTGTGGCTCATAGACACTAGAGAGTGGGCTCGGAAGTTGTGGAAGTTGCCCACGGCTCGTGGAATCTTCCCGGACCAGGGACTGATCCCTGAGGTCCTATGTGCTGCCTTACCCCATCCTCCCGGAAAAGAAGCAGCATCTGTTTCTTGTGCACCTACTATGTGATGCGTCAGGTGCCTTGTGAACCTCATCTCTGTTCCTCTCATGGGTCCAAGCGAGGACTGTCTTCCCCACTTTATAGATGAGAAAAGGGAGGTTTAGAAGAAGTTAGAGGGCTTCCCTGGTGGCTCAGTGGTGAAGAATCCGCCTGCCAATGCGGGAGACACGTGTTTGATCCCTGATCCCTGAAGATCTCATGTACCGTGTGGCAACTAAGCCCATGCACATAACCACTGAGCCACACCGACTGAAGCCCTGGAGTCTAGAGCCTATGCTCCGCAACAGGAGAAGCCACCACAGTGAGAAGCCTGCGCTCTGCACCTGGAGAGGAGCCCCGACTTGCCGCAACTGGAGAAAAGTCTATGCAACGACGAAGACCCAGCACAGTCAAATAAATAGATAACATATTTTTTTAAAAAAGAAGTTAGAACTGAGGCTTCCCTGGCGGTGCACTGGTTGAGACTCTGCCCTTCCACTGCAGGGGGTGTGGGTTCGATCCCCACTTGGGGAAGGTCCACATGCCATGAGATGCTGCCAAAGAAAAAAAGGGAAAAAAAAAAGTTAGAATCCTTGTGGAAAATCAATAGCTAAGGAGTCAGAAGGGTCAGAATTGGAATGCTGAGTATTGCCCAAGGTATGCCAGGTGGCGCTATGATAAAGAACCCACCTGCTAACGCAGGAGACAGAAGAGAGGTTTGTTCCCTGGGTTGGGACAGTCCCCTGGAGGAGGGCATGGCAACGTACTCCAGTGTTCTTGCCTGGAGAATCCCCATGGACAGAGGAGCCTGGCGGGCTACAGTCCAGGGGGTTGAAAAGAGTCAGACACGACTGAGCAACTTAGCAGACACGCACCCATCACCATCACACAGACCCAGTCTGAGAAGGAAATTTCTCTGGGACACCGTCACCTATGCTCAGAACCTCTCTTGGCTCAAAATGAACTGGGAACCCCATGGACTTATTCATGATGCTCGTCCCCATGTTGGCCAGAGCCCCAAATCCCAGCCCTCTTGTGTCTGCCCTTTGTGCTTAGTCCTGCTCTTCAGTCCCACCCAGACACCCAGGTCCATACTTCCTTTGCCCTCAGACTCTTGTCCTGGTCTTCTGCCTGAAGACTCATCGTCCGGCTCACCGTCACAGCTGAGCACTGGTACCTCACTGTCCTGCGGCTGTGCCTTGCCCTAAGGCGTCCCAGACATTGGCATCCTGGAACTTTCTGATTCAGCATCTTAGGTTCTAAAAGCCCATTGTTTCTGACTTCCGGGATTCCCTTCCCCAATTGTTTCATCA